ATGATTTTTTTCAACGATACGTCAAAATATCACAAATCGTATATAGTTAAAGACATTACTCCCAAAAATTAAAAAAAAATCCCTTTTATCAAAGTTCTCGTTCCCCATAAAAATTACGATTTTTAAAATCGGTAAATTTTTTAACTTCTTTTTCCTAAAATTTGCCATAACTTATTGAAAAATGAACAAATCAAAATAATTATTTTTATTATTTACACTTTAAATAATTCCTTTTTATTAAAATGTTTTTCAAAATCTAACCCTTTACCTGCTCACAAGATAAGATTCAAAATAGTATCTTTTTCATAAAACTCAACTTAACTTTTACAAGAGTCATGGAAATATTGTATCATTTAAACATAAATCAAATTAAAGCTTATGTTATGTACTATAAATTTAAAAAAAAAAATTGTTACGGCGACCTATCCTCTTTATGCAAATTACTGCAGTAGTTGAGAAACATGATATTTTTGTATTCAAATTTTATTTTTTTGTAGTTTATTTTAAAATACTTTATAAGAGTTTGCCATAGTAATAAGTCCAACAATTTTTATAAAACTTACATAAATCTAACTAACATAAAATATAAATCTTCTTCTTTTTCTTCGTCTTAATCCCAACTACTTAGGGTCAACCACTCTTATCCTAAACTTCCACTTAATACGATATCCCACATCATCTACACTCACATCAGCCGTCCTCATATCGCATTCAATAATATCCCTGCATCTTTTTTTTGGTCTAGTCAACCTGATCTTCCTTCAACATGAATTTCCATAATTGTACTTACAGGTTCCGATTTCTCTCTCCTCATAACATGACCAAATCATCTAAGTTTATTTCCTCTCATCTTATCCATGATTGACGCTACATCTATATTCCCTCTTATATACTCGTTCCTTATCCTATCTTTTCTAGTCACTCCACTCATCCATCTAAGCATTCTCATCTCTGCTACACTCATTCTCTGCTCTACTTACTTGTCAACCGCCCAACACTTTGAACCATACATCATAGCTGGCTTCGTACAGTCTTGTAGAATTTACCTTTCAGCCTCATAGGAATTATTTTATCGCATAAAACGCCAGACGTTTCTCTCCATTTCAACTACCCGCACTTAATTCTGCGTGTTATATCTTCGTCAATACCACCACTCTTTTGCACAACTGATCCTAAATACTTAAAATTCTCCACCTCACCTAATCACCTATTGTCACTGACCTCCTCATTTCACCTACCTCGTGTTCAACTATCTTAAAGTTACATATCATTTCAACATTTTTTATTTAATAAATCAAAGTTTTCTAAAAAAATAACAATACTATTCATTTCCTTTAGCTTCGATGAGAAGCTAAGAAGATATTAAATTTACTATGATGTCTTATTTTTTTATTTTTATTTTTTTGTGTCTGTGAACGCTCAATCTCAGCTCTCGCTGGACCGATTTTGATGAACAATATGTCAAAAGATCACAAATCGTATTTAGTCGAAGATATTACCCTCAAAAATTGTCATAACTCTTTTAAAAATGACCCAATCAATATAATTTTTTTTATATAGATACCTAAAATGTATAGATCAATATTATTATTTTTTATAATAAATTTTTATATACCCCTTTCATCTGACACACTTTTTTTGTAAATCGGATCATACCCCTTTAACAAGGAAGGTCAAAACTTTAAACATGCGTATTGAAACTAGGACATTTTCAATTTAATTTTTGAAAGTGTTCCAGAAATACTGACATTTTTATATTTATTTTAAATTAAAGCTTATGTAATATACTTTAATTTGAAAAAAAATATTGATCTCTGGATTTGTCTTCATGGTAAAAATGACTACCGTAATCAAAAATATGCTGTTTTTGTGTTAAAAATCTGGGTTTTAGTATTTTATTTTATTTTAAAATACCTGATAAGGGGAGTACACTGAATTTCATAAATATTATATAAATCAAATTGATATAGCATAGAAAGTTAACCTTATTTAAACTTTTTTTAAGTCATAAAAATAGCTTTGAAATTTGAACTAGATTTAATTGCCACTTTTTCAATCGACGGAAGTGACGTACGGTTGTCGAGTCAGTAAACCTTGTATCTGACTCGCTTGGGTTACAAAATTCCAACCCGCGTATGGCAAAAGATTTTTTGTATTTTTTTCTTGATGCTTTTTAAGTTAGGACAAAACTCCTTTGATTTTAATCTCATTTAGATCCAATAACTTCAATAAAGATCAAGGATCCCATCACTGTAGTCACCCGTTGCGAGAAGAAATTTCTTATTCAGACAATTAAAATCATTCATTTCTAATGTTTTAAAAGTATTAATTGACAAATTATGTTTGATATGATAGGTTTCAACTACAAAATTAAATTATTTTATTTTGTAATTTCATAATACTTTACTCTATTTGTGTGCGCTACAATTAGATTATAATATTCCAAATTTTTTGTTAACGTGATATAAATAATTTCTAAAATAAATGATTGTTAGTTTCTTCTGAATTAACAATGAATTTTAAAAATTATAATCAAATTTTATAATACGCTCAATTGAGTAAATCTTTTTAACAAATTTGTTTTGATTGGTTCATTTAGTTAAAGTAAATCATTAAAATTAATTAAGTTCTGAATATTTCAATTGTAGAATCTTTTTTAACACCAAAAGTTACTAGGAAATAATACTATTATTTATATTTAAGTTATTTATTACAATAAAAATGCAAAAAAATATTGAGATTTTCTAATAAATATACTATAAATAGTTATTTTAAAATTTCTTGACTGCATATTAATCCAAACGATACAATTTTTTTAATTCTCATAAAATTTCCTATTTAATGATGTCATTTTCAAACTTGCAAATTGAGTTAAAAGTCATGGTAATAATTTTTTTTTAACTATAAACTTTCACAACAATCAACTTTAAAGGATTAAAATATTAGGTTAAATATGTCATTTACCTTATTTTTAACATATTAATAATCAAAATCAATATTAATTGAAAACAATTTTTTTTTGTTCTTAATAATTTTTTTTTATATTTAAATACTTATTTTTTAATAATAAGTAATTATATTAAAACTTAGAAGTAATAGAAGAAGTGTAATTGCATATTTGAAAACATCGAGAAAAGTTGATTTAGAAAAGTACATTTTTGTTTCTGATGAAAGTTCCTTGTAGTCCAGTGTATACAACTTAGAACTTTATTATAAGTAACAAACATTTTTTTATTGAAAAGTATTGCGTCAAACTCAAAAGTAAAGAAATATACTACTACTTTATTATTTTTATAATATCTCCGTAAAAATTACAATATTAAATTATTGAATATAAATTTCATACTAAATTTAATTACTAAAATTGTTATTTATTCATATATAATATTTATAAATCAAATAATAATAGGGATAAAATTAAGGGAATAAGAGTTATTGTTGCTTTTGAAATAATCTATCAATTTCTTAAAATTAAATGCTATCTACAGATTTTTATGGAAGCGTTTCTTATGATAGTGGTTTTAATTACTGTAAGATATCATCTATACTTGTTCCAACTATGCTACGTCCGAACTGTGTCGTGACCCCACTGTGCCATCGTTTTTTTTTTTTTTAATATTATAAACAAAATTAATTTGTTTTAAGTTATCAGTTGTTACTACATCGACAGATTAGTTTATATATATTATTTAATAATTAAAAGTCTTCTTCTTCTTCTACCTCGTCTTAAACCCAACTAATTGGAGTCGGCCACCCTTATTCCAAACTTCCACTTAACACGATCTCCCACATCATTTACGCTCACATCTGCTGTCCTCATATCGCATTCAATAGCATCCCTCCATCTCTTTTTTGGTCTTCCTCTACCTCTTCTTCCTTCAACATTCATTTCTATAACTGTTTTTACAGCTTACGATTCCTCTCTCCTCATAACATGATCATACTATCTAAGTTTATTTTCTCTCATCTTATTTACGATTATATAATAATATAATTTTATTTTTAAAGCTAATAATAAACCATTCATAAATTAAATCTAATTTAGCAACTCTAGAGCCTTAAGCTACCAATCAATAGGTACTAGTATTAAAAAAAAAAAAATAGCGTTATTTGGACAAATAATTAAGTCTAGCTATGTTCGGTAATAGTAATTCTTAGTTAATTGAATAAACAAAATTGATTTGATTACAATTTATAATTTTAATAATAACCCTTTATATATATATATATATGTGTGTGTTGTTGTATGTGTATAAACGATACAAGGTTATAAATTATATCTAACTATTTATTACAGCGTGATGAGTGTATGACTTATAAGTTTAATATAAGATTAATCTTAAGTCCAAAATATGAGCGAGTTAAACCATTAACAATCGAGTATTTATATAATCAAAAGTCCCCATCACCATTAATTATTATTAAAATGAAATATATCTGTAGGACTAAAGGATAACATGTAGTCATAATAAAATATAAAATAAAAGACAATATAGTGCCGTAATTTATAATGAAATGTTAAGGAATTAGAATTGGAGAGAGTCAGGATACTACACTAATGTGTTATAACTTTTTTGCCCGTGCTGTTTTTTTCTAGAAATTCATTGTGTTTTTATGTATTACGATTTTGATAGTAGTAGTCTAATGATATTATATATATATTTTATTTTTAAGGATTGTTTTTTTTAATGATAATGTTAATGAAATTTGGTATAGTAAACTATAGTATAGTTATCTGTTAATTCGTCAATAAAATAACAAAATTTTAAAATTTAACAATATAAAATTGTATTTGTTTTTAATGTATATTTTACATCTTAGATGTTAAATTTAAACTCTAAATGATATCATTATATAAACAATTTGAAGTATACGTCTGTGAGTTAAGAAGTCTAACTGCAAAATGTCAAATACATTAAAATCTATTTTTTTACAAAAACATTATTTTAGAATAAATAATTAATATTTGCACTATTTCAGTATAAATGGGAAAACAACGTATGGAAAATTGCTCAGCTAAAATTTAAACATTTAAATAATTATTTTTTAAATTATTATCTTCTTAAGTAAATAAATCACTGTCATGTATTTACAAACTATACTAATTTTTTGTTCAGTATGTTTTTTTACCGGCACAGTGGTAAGTATTTATTCAATGGTTTATTTATTTATTAAACATGCTATATAAATATTTTAAGAGCCAAGGACTTAGTGCACGTCAAATATATCTCTATCGTCAAATGATATGGATATATGATAGGGATATTAACAAAATAAATCATGCTTTAAAATGTAATGGTATCAATTCGAAGTCCATCGAAGAGATCTGCAATAAGTATAGAACTACTAAAAGTAATTTATAATTTATAGCTTTAGTTTTTTTAACATAATTTTTTATTTATATGTCAATTACTATTTTTAAATAAATTTGATTACTTTAAAATTTATTTAAACTAAAAAAATACTCAATTTTAAATACTATAAAAATATATTTATAGTTAAATGTTTTTGCTTCGATGAGAAGCTAAGAATGGATAATTTTACGTTTTTATTTTTATCTCTGTCACAACTTTTTCTTAGCTCTACCTGATGAAAATTTTCCCTCATTCCCTCGAAATGGGGGACATCTCCAAAACAATTACAATTATTAAGATCCGTAAATTTTGATATTTTTTCATTATAGCTTCGATGCGAAGCTGAGAAGGTATTAATTTTACTAGTCTAGTCTAGATATTACTATCTAGTCGAAATATGTCTTCGACTAGATACGATTTGTGATCTTTGACGTATCGAAATAAATCGGTTGGGTGAGAGCGGAGAAAAAGGGGTAACAGACACAAAAATACATACATCATAGTAAAATTAATACCTTCTTAGCTTCGCATCGAAGCTAAAATGAAAAAATATCAAAATTTACCGATTTTAAAAATTGTAATTATTTTGGAGATGTCCAAAGTAGTGGCAATGATGTAATAATATTTATTTAATGTATTTGTATATGTTAAGTAAAAGTTAAATTTTGAGCTGTACTTGAGCTACGTTAATGACATCAAACATAATTCAAATACGTTATATGTTGTACTGTTCAGTTGGGTGCTGCACGATGATCCAATTAAGTTATTATTTTGATTAAACAGCTTAAATAAAAAAAATTAATGTATACTAGTGTTACTATTAATAAATAGTTGTCTATGTCTTATGGCGACAAACGTTATGTATAGTAATACTATTGAAAAGAACGTTGAATAGTAATTCAATGTTAAAATAATTAAAATTAAATGTTTGAGAAATAAAGCTGATTAATACTGATGTATTAATGAATACTTTTTTGATTAAAATTTGATTTTTTATGGTGTTCGAATGAATTTGTAAAAGAATTATCCTAAATTATATAAATTATGCATTAAGTGAGAGTTGGACTTTGAGAGATATTTGAGCTGACATTTTACGATGACAAACGTAATTGAAATATGTAAAGATACTGGCGTACGTAGAATTTATTAAAGAGGGTGGTGTCACAACATAAATGAGTAGTTAACCTTTTTGTTTTAATCAAGATAAATGGATAATAATAGATAAAAATATGTAAATTCATAATAAACATATATTTTCATATTAATTCTGTAAATTTACAAATTAATTGAATTTTATATTCTATTTTAGAAAACACATATTTTTACATACTGACCTTCACCACTTTTCACATTAATTACAATTTAACTCGTAATTTCTAATAAATTTCGCATATTTTCATAGTATATGCCCCCTTCTTATGTGAAATCCACCGCCTTCCATCCCCAAATATTCACTTTTAACCACCATACCACTAATTGTACTAGCTAAAAATGAGGGAACCTTTACAGATGGGTTTATTCTTTACCTGGTACAACATAATACTATCAATGGGAAGGGAACACCGAACTTTCTAGCTGGATAAGTTGCTTGGGTTGCTCGGTGGAGTGGCCGTTTTTATAGATTAGAACTACTTATATTGTTTCGTTACTTGAAAAAATAAAACCAAAAAAAAAAAAGAAAAAACTACCAAAAATTAAAAATATGATCACAAAGGAGGTATCATAACCACTTGAGACACCTCTTAAATACGCCATTGCATTAATATATTACATGTTGTACTATCCAAACGGATTTTTCATGGCTTTCTAATGTAGTAATAATTTAGATTAAATGGTTTAAAATTACAAATGAGCTATTAAAATTTTGTATAACATTTTAAGAACCCTTGGATATTATTTTATAATAGCGTAGAGTATAGAACATATGGTCGTTCGACTGTCGTCGGACACTGGAATGTGCTGATCAAGGGATTTAGGGCAACCATGACAAAGGACTCCCATAGTAGATCCTATAGAGTCAGTCGTGGTTCGGTATGTGAGAGTGACGCTACACATAGTATTCTAAGTCCAAGCCGTTTAATTCTAAGTCTGTACACTAAGCTGTATTCTATTTTCGTGTGTTATTTATTATAACTTTCACTGTTATTGTATTCTATTCTAATCGATCACGATTAAATTGATCATTAATAAATAAACTCTATTTTATTCTACTTTTTTACTAAAAATCTATCTTCTCCACGCGGGCCCGCATTACAAACGTAATGATCAATTTTTTATAGATGTTACAGCCACACAAATCAGCCAGATTCTGAATTTATTGGTTGAAGTTGACAAGTGGGGTGATGACAGAAATGTAAAATTACATATTAATTAGATTATTATTCTTTTTACCTTAATCGTTAACAAATTATATTGCATTTTCTAGGTGGAAAAATTGAGTATAGAAGAGGTTAAAAATTTTTCAACTAAATTCGATAATCCTGATTTAGAAAAAACATATGGTAGTTTAAATAAAGAAGATTTCAACGAATTAATTGATTCTTTAATTGAAAAAGTAATTATACATTTATTTTAAAATATTAATAATTATTTACATTCAAATAATTATTTATGATGCGAAGCTGAGAAAGTATTAATTTTTTTAATTTTTTTTGTGTCTGTTACCACTTTTTCCCAGCTCTAACCGAACCGATTTTTTTCAACGATACGTTAAAAGATCACAAATCGTATCTAGTCGAAGACATTACCCTCAAAAATTGAAAAAATTTCCTTCGTTCCCCATAAATGGGGAAAATCTTCAAAAAAATTACTAATTTAAAAATACCCAATTAAATACATATATATTTATGTTGTATTTAATATTACTACGTTAAGAAAAGGTTATTATACTGGNTATAGTAACTCAAAATAAAAGGAGAAAATTATTAAGAAGATATTTATTTTAGTAATTAAAAGGATAATTTATTAAAATTATCTATATTTGTTGGTATTATATGAGCATGAGAATAATTGAGTTACTATAATATTTATTTAATAATGAAAATGATACAATATAATTTTCTCTCGGGATATGAGTATGAGGGTATATTAGAAGATGTAAAGTATAGAAAAACAAAGTGATGTTTGAAAATTTATTAATGTAATAATAATTTTAAATATAAATTATTGTGATTAATTATCATNGACGCTACACATAGTATTCTAAGTCCAAGCCGTTTAATTCTAAGTCTGTACACTAAGCTGTATTCTATTTTCGTGTGTTATTTATTATAACTTTCACTGTTATTGTATTCTATTCTAATCGATCACGATTAAATTGATCATTAATAAATAAACTCTATTTTATTCTACTTTTTTACTAAAAATCTATCTTCTCCACGCGGGCCCGCATTACAAACGTAATGATCAATTTTTTATAGATGTTACAGCCACACAAATCAGCCAGATTCTGAATTTATTGGTTGAAGTTGACAAGTGGGGTGATGACAGAAATGTAAAATTACATATTAATTAGATTATTATTCTTTTTACCTTAATCGTTAACAAATTATATTGCATTTTCTAGGTGGAAAAATTGAGTATAGAAGAGGTTAAAAATTTTTCAACTAAATTCGATAATCCTGATTTAGAAAAAACATATGGTAGTTTAAATAAAGAAGATTTCAACGAATTAATTGATTCTTTAATTGAAAAAGTAATTATACATTTATTTTAAAATATTAATAATTATTTACATTCATAACCCAAGATTTTTTCTCTATCTACATAAAATTAATAGAGCTCATAGTAATTTTGAACAAATAATTAATTAACTTTTTTTCAAATAATTTTAATGATTTTATATATTAAAGATATCACGTTTTATATAAAAGACAGTCATTATAAACGGAGAGTAATTTTTTGTGTATTGGCAACACTGTGAATCAAAAAGTAATTATGTATACCTATTCTATATTTAAAACTGTATTAGGATTCAACCATAAGACTATCTTTTTGATTAATTTTTAATTATTTAAAACATTCATATTAATATTAGCTAATTTTCGTTTTGCAATATCGTGATTTAATATATTAAATGGGCTGTACAATTCGATTTTCATATCGATTGACACAAATCTGCTCCCGAAACCGTTCAGATAACGAAAGAAACTTATAAAGAAAAATGCCTAAGTAAGTCGACAATACTCCGATGGTACAACGTATTCAAAGAGGGTAGAGAATCACATAGAGTCTTCGCCGTCGAAAATAGTCCGATAGTTGACATAGCGATCACAGTTATTATTTTGTTTTTAGTTTCGATGCGAAGCTANACATTTATTTTAAAATATTAATAATTATTTACATTCAAATAATTATTTATGATGCGAAGCTGAGAAAGTATTAATTTTTTTAATTTTTTTTGTGTCTGTTACCACTTTTTCCCAGCTCTAACCGAACCGATTTTTTTCAACGATACGTTAAAAGATCACAAATCGTATCTAGTCGAAGACATTACCCTCAAAAATTGAAAAAATTTCCTTCGTTCCCCATAAATGGGGAAAATCTTCAAAAAAATTACTNCTTTACTTTTTCTGGTTTCCTACTTAATTTATGTACTCATTATATTTACTTTGAATATGAATTTACCTTAATGATTTCAGGACTAATGTTGAAAAAATGAATATACTTCAACCTTCCATGTAAAATCGTATTTTGTCAAGCCACCCCTCGCACTCGTCAAAAGTCCACAAGGTGAAGTGGCAGCGAGAGAGATTGACAGTTTTCATGCCCCTTTATATTAAACCCAACTCATCTACCTATGCAAGAAGTGCCACGACCCCCCACTACCATCCGCCTATCACCCAACCCGTGTTATTTACCACACACCATTTTACTCAAAATAGACAATTTGCCACAACCAAAGAACTTCCCATAATTACCACAGCAGATTCATATCAATGTATTTCCAGACACATTTCTCGGAATAGTCCAAAGTATTAACATGAATAACATTTCCAATTTGATGACCAACAGGCAACAACATATATACCACTGAACAATGAGTGGTGTATGTATTATAACAATACTATCAATGGGAAGGGAACACCGAACTTTCTAGCTGGATAAGTTGCTTGGGTTGCTCGGTGGAGTGGCCGTTTTTATAGATTAGAACTACTTATATTGTTTCGTTACTTGAAAAAATAAAACCAAAAAAAAAAAAGAAAAAACTACCAAAAATTAAAAATATGATCACAAAGGAGGTATCATAACCACTTGAGACACCTCTTAAATACGCCATTGCATTAATATATTACATGTTGTACTATCCAAACGGATTTTTCATGGCTTTCTAATGTAGTAATAATTTAGATTAAATGGTTTAAAATTACAAATGAGCTATTAAAATTTTGTATAACATTTTAAGAACCCTTGGATATTATTTTATAATAGCGTAGAGTATAGAACATATGGTCGTTCGACTGTCGTCGGACACTGGAATGTGCTGATCAAGGGATTTAGGGCAACCATGACAAAGGACTCCCATAGTAGATCCTATAGAGTCAGTCGTGGTTCGGTATGTGAGAGTGACGCTACACATAGTATTCTAAGTCCAAGCCGTTTAATTCTAAGTCTGTACACTAAGCTGTATTCTATTTTCGTGTGTTATTTATTATAACTTTCACTGTTATTGTATTCTATTCTAATCGATCACGATTAAATTGATCATTAATAAATAAACTCTATTTTATTCTACTTTTTTACTAAAAATCTATCTTCTCCACGCGGGCCCGCATTACAAACGTAATGATCAATTTTTTATAGATGTTACAGCCACACAAATCAGCCAGATTCTGAATTTATTGGTTGAAGTTGACAAGTGGGGTGATGACAGAAATGTAAAATTACATATTAATTAGATTATTATCCTTTTTACCTTAATCGTTAACAAATTATATTGCATTTTCTAGGTGGAAAAATTGAGTATAGAAGAGGTTAAAAATTTTTCAACTAAATTCGATAATCCTGATTTAGAAAAAACATATGGTAGTTTAAATAAAGAAGATTTCAACGAATTAATTGATTCTTTAATTGAAAAAGTAATTATACATTTATTTTAAAATATTAATAATTATTTACATTCAAATAATTATTTATGATGCGAAGCTAAGAAAGTATTAATTTTTTTAATTTTTTTTGTGTCTGTTACCACTTTTTCCCAGCTCTAACCGAACCGATTTTTTTCAACGATACGTTAAAAGATCACAAATCGTATCTAGTCGAAGACATTACCCTCAAAAATTGAAAAAATTTCCTTCGTTCCCCATAAATGGGGAAAATCTTCAAAAAAATTACTAATTTAAAAATACCCAATTAAATACATATATATTTATGTTGTATTTAATATTACTACGTTAAGAAAAGGTTATTATACTGGTAATCGACCGTTGTGTCACCCGTATAGATAGTAATATGAATTAGTTTACTTCCTACCATCTCCATCCTAATTTCTGTACAAGTGTACAATTGTTGATTGTGATTTTATAAAATATGTAACAAATAATTTATTTTTGTATAGGTTATTAAAACGCGGCGTAAATACCCTTATGTGATTATTTCATGTGCTATACATTTTTTTACATACAATTATTGTTGAACTTATTTTTAAATTATTATTTTAATAAAATAATTGTCTCTATGGATAGAAGATAGTAATACTTCCACGGCCCCTCTGCCAGCCGTAAGAGGAGACTAATGAAGTTGCGTCAGGTCGACAGCCGACGTAAATTTTTTTCAAAAAGTAAAGTTTTTACACTAAGTATCATGAAAATTGCTTTGTTTTGAGCCGTGTTAAACTTAATCATTCTGATATGGAAAAAATATTATACAAGTTTATGCTTTTTAATATTAAATTGTATCAAAATATTTAAAATTTATATTTTTTTTTTATTAAAATCTTCTTTTTTTTCTTCGCCTTAATGGCAACTACTTGGGGTTAACCAATCTTATCCTAAACTTCCACTTAACACAATATCCCACATCATCTATGCTCACATCATCTGTCTTCATATTACATATAATAATATCTCTCCATCTCTTTTTTGGTCTTCCTCTACCTCTTCTTCCTTCAACATTAATTTACATAGCTTTTCTCACAGCTTCCGATTCCTTTCTTCTCATAACATGACCAAATCATCTAAGTTTATTTTCTTTCAACTTATCATAATTGACACTACACCTATACTCTCTCTTATATGTTTGTTCATTATCCTATCTTCTCTAGTCACTCCACTCATCCATCTAAGTATTCTCATCTCTACTACATTCATTCTTTTTTCAACTGCCCAACATTCTAAACCAACCATCATAGCTGATTTCATTAATCTTAGTAGTGTACTACTAGAACTTTTTTTTTTTTAATTATGTAATTATCAATAAAAATAGTAGCACTTTCATTAAGATTAATATTGGAGATTCGTCTTTCAAAAATAAGACTCGCAATTAAACTACTATCGATGGAAGTTTACTAGTTAATTGAAAGTTACATGGAAATGACTAGTAATAAAACAACATTCGTGTTTTACTTTCATCCAATATTAAAAAATGTTTAATAACTTCCACAAACATTTAAATGCAAATAGACCTATTTTTAGAATATTAAAAATACAATTAAAATAATTCTGTAAAAAATTTTAACGAATACAAAAATAATAAATTTGATTTTATGCCAAACGTTGAAATTAAAGCGTAACGTATTAATGAAGTCCAATAGAGTTAAAATTTTGCAGGTGATTTATTTACATACAATTAAAAAAAAATATTCCCGGCACTCATTAAAATTTAGAATTTGAAAAATAAGGGCATTTAATAAGGATATAGCATTAAACTATTTTTCATATTTTAGGAAGTAAAAGTGGACGAGAATAACAAAAAAAATCCTAAAGGGTCTGTGGATGATTTTGAGATGGATATTATTGACGAAAGTAATTATTAAACAAATAATTGTAAATATTCTATATTTTATTTACATTGTGGTATTTTTTTAGACAAGAAATATTTCGAATTAAGTGATGTATTGTTAAAAGTATTACAGTACAAGGCATACTATAATGGAACAATATTTGTTGAACATAATATTTGGGAAATCGTTCACGATATATTATTAAACATTTCAAATTTTAATGAACCGGAATCATTTAAACTTATACTCAGTAAAGAGAAATAAAAGTATTATTTTGTTTAAATTTTCAAAAACTCATGTTTTTTTTCTTTCAAATATTTTAAAATTATAAAAAGATGTAATTTCTACATCCAATTATTTTATGTATTTTATTATTATTATTGCTTTAGGTTTATTTAAATTTCATTTTATATTGAACCAATCATTATAGTATTAAACATTAATATTATACTCGTTAATATCTTTCTTAGTACATGTTTAAAATAATCCGTCAACGTTATTATTTGAACGGTGTATGGGTTAAATGTACCAAATTCATTCTGACATTTGTGTTTTTCGCATATTCTTATAAATATTCAGAAGACACGTTCCATAAAAAAGAAATTAGATTCATCATTTTTTTGTTGACACTAAACCTATTCTCCCTTTTATATGTTCGTTCCTTATCCTATCTTCTCTAATCACTCCACTCATCCATTTAGGTATTCTCATCTCTGCTACATTCATTCTCTGCTCTATTCTCTTGTTAACCGCACAGCATTATGAATCATACATCATAAGTGATCTTACTACAGTCTTATAGAATTTACTTTTTAGTGTCATTGGAATTCTCTTATTGTATAACACACCAAACACTTCTCTTTGCTTTATCCACCCACACTTAATCCTGTGTTTGACATTCTCGTCAATACCACCGTTCTTTTTCACAACTGATCCTAAATACTTTCCACCTCTCCCTCATGTCCTCGCTTATTGTCACTGATTTCCTCATTTCACTTATGTCGTGTTTTCTTTTTCAAACTCGTTCTCTACATACTCTGTCTTACTCCTACTTATTCTTAAACCCTTTTCATCATGAGCTGATCTCCTCACCTCTAGTCCTTGATTAATTTCCTCCCTATTTTCTCATATTTACACTAACTATATCGTCTTCGAACAACGTGCACCATGGCACCTCTTCTTGTATTTCTCTANCTATTTTCTCATATTTACACTAACTATATCGTCTTCGAACAACGTGCACCATGGCACCTCTCCTTGTATTTCTCTAGTAATTCCATCCATTACTATAGTAAATAAATAAGGGCTTAAATCAGAACCTTGGCGCAGTCTTACTCTTACCTTATAACCTTCTGTTACCTCTCCCACACTTTTTATCCTGATATAAGTGCCATCATATAATATAATATATTATATTCGCTATATTATAGCGAAGAATAGGGATGTCTTAAATTTATATGATTTAAGTATGAGTTACATTTATAGTTACATTAAACCCTATGTCACGTAATAATATTTTAAGTAATTAAAAAAATAATAGTATAAATGTAAAAAATGTAAATATTATTAATATAATTATGATAAAACTGTATTTATGTTTGAGGTGATCTATTTGATATTAATATAATGATATCTTCATGAGTTTTCTTTTACTTGTCACTTCAAAAAAGGTCGTACATTTTTTCTGTAGTTATTAAAATAACTATCAAAATAATTTTTGCATAGAGCACTTAAAGTCGTCAAGCCGAAATCGTATTGTATCACATGTCTCACAATGTCGTAGTTCAGACTTGTTGAAAACGATGACACATTTATAGTGAGTCTTACAATGGTGGTTAACTAAATTCATTGGAAAAAAATAAGGATTTCTTTTGGTAAAAAATGAATTAAGGTATAACGTGAATACGAAAAAGTCAATTTTTTTTTATAAAAAAAAAATAATAGTAAACAGAGATCATCTTTGGTCAAAGTTAAAAGAATTACAGTATATAAAAATGTAATATAAAACAGTATAGTCAATAAAAAATATAATAAGCAAGGAATGGTTATAAAAAAACAATAAGATCTTTAGTTTACAATTTAACTATTAGCATAGACGCAGTGTATGAGGTTGAGCGATTAAACTTAAAATTCAGAAAAACTAATTTTTTTTTTATATTAAAATACAATTTAAACAAAGAAAAATTTGATTTAGCTTCTCCAAAAACACTTACGCCTTTGACATTAAAAAGATGCATAAATTTAATTTTGTAAAAATTATAATTTAAACGAAACCAATTTATTTAAATTGGAAGCATTGTTGGTTCGATTAAAATTTCATTTATAGCACAAAAAGATGGCTGAGTAAGTGCAAATAAAACAGCATCTGCAATATTAGAAGCTTCTAATATTTTATATTTTGAACTACAATCGTACTGGCTTTTAGTCTGTAATAAAGTCAAAAGAAATTATTAGTTCTTAAATTATAACAATTTATCTGAAGCAAAGTTGTTAAAAAATGTGTAAACAAAACCCTGTTTAAAATATCCCCTAAAAACAATATTTTTAATGTTGATATTTACGAAATATGACTCTAACGATCTTTTTCTTGAGGGGTTAAGTCACCCTACTAAAATGAGTTCTAAATATGCCCTTGTAACAAATATCAATTTATTAAATTTTAATTATTTATATACGTTTTTACTAAAATAAATGCCTTTTATGCTAATGATATACCCTTTAATTTTTTTTCTCTGTGTCATTGTTCCCTTTAAATCTTATTAAATTCTACACTGTTCATAATAATTTGCAAAACTTAAAAATTAAATAGATTGATTTAAATATTTATTTTTTTAAGAAGCCATGCATAAAACGTATAAATAAAAAAAAATTTCTAATATTATTATTTTTTAGAGGGAGGTTAACCTCTTTACCCTTTGTCTATGTACCGTCTATTTAACACTAAATTCGCACTGATTTTTTTTACACTATAAACATTACCTCAATATCACTTGTTTTATTTAATAACTCCGTTTTTACATCGCCAGGTTGAATACAAGTTACTTTTATGTTATAATCTGTCATCTCTGTCCTTAATGCTCCTGACACACCTTCCATAAAAAATTTTGTACCGGAGTAAACACCAAGTCCTGGAAAAGACTATGTAATATGTATTTTAAAATAAAATTTGTATATACTTTGTTGTTATTTTTAATAGTCAATAATAATAAAATAATGACAAATTACAGGCTGTCTTTAAAAAATTATAATTACCCTTCGACCAGCATCTGATGTAATATTTACAATGTGCCCTTTATTTTTAGTCGTCATCTGTGGAAGTACAGCGCCAAGGCAATTAAGCATTCCATTACAATTCACTTGAACCATTTCATCCCATTCTTGCATATTGCACTTATCAAAAGACGTGTAAAACATGACACCCGCATTTATGATTAGTATATCAATTAAACCAACTGTCTTTTCAATACTTTGTACAACAGTTTTAACCTGAATAAAGAAATATTGTTTAATTTGTGTTAACTCTACTATTAATTTCGTAGTACATTAGTTTTGTCCGTTACATCCATTTTATAAGGAATAACAGATGAAAAACCAAATGATAGAATTTCGTTCCGTAATTTAATTAAACGACTTATTCTCCGTCCAGTAGGAACCACTATAGCACCAGCAAAGGCGAGTTTTTTGGTTATAGCATAACCTATACCCGAAGATGCTCCAGTTATTAATATAACTTTTGACTTTAATGGTAATGATTGGTCTCCAACAAAAATATTTTTTTCTAAAAAAAAATTATTTTATAATACACTATTTTTACTTTTCTTCATTATATATTTTTCATAGATTAAACTTTCAATGAAGTTAAAAAGTAACTTTAAATATATTAACTTTTAAAAAAATGAATATTCTTCTTTTGATCTAAATTAAATGAGTTTCATCAATAATTACTCAAGAGATAAAATAAATTGAAAAAAAATAACACACCTATAATACTTGGTTTTGGTATTAAATTTAATGTTGACAAAGTATTTAGTATTCTTGAACATTCAGATTTATTTATCACTGGATATTCTTCATTGACGAAGGATAAATAATTTTCCAAATTAGTTCTTTCTACTTTTGGATGATTTTTTAAGTATTTATCTAATTTTAATGAAGAATTAAGTAAATAAGCAAGAGAAATTAACTCTGGAATTGAATTTTTTATAATTTTATTTGTCCATTCTTCATAAGATTTTTTTTCTAATTTGTAACCGAATTCTGACATTGCTTGCCACAAATAACTGAAATGTATTTTATATAAGTAATATTACTACATAATGAACTAATATATTTAAAATATAAATTACATTAATTAATATTTAATAAAAATTCGAATACCTTGAATCTAAATAATCATTGACCATATGATACACCTTTCCTGATGATTTATCTATATTTTGGGATAATTTTACGATGGTGTTTGCTATAAAATCCACAGGAGTCAATTCTATCTATTTTCGTTTATATTAGTAGCATGTTAAACAATTTAATAAATAAAAAATGATATACCCTAATTTTATAAAACCTTAGGACTTACTTGCCAATTAATATCTGGGTATGTATTTGTATACAGTACACCTTGAATAAGAAGTAGAGTAAGATCTGATGAGTTCCAATTAGGTACATATCTGCTGCCACTTATATTACCACATCTAAATATAGATGCTGGAAATCCTTTTTTAACGGCATGCAAAATTAACTGCTCTGATAACCATTTTGTTTGACCATAACCATCGTTTAATAATGTAGCCCATTTCATTGAATCATCATTTTCTTTGACATTTTTTAAGTTTCGAGGGAACACTGAAGACGAGCTGCATACAAATTATTTCAGATTTATTTATTCATTTAAAAATGTATTTTACTTATTTGTTAAATATTTAATTTTAAACAGTAGCGTTAGAGGAAAATATTGGTATAGAAAAAATAATTCCTAACATTTTCAGATAACTTTTATAATTCTGTAAATACCTTCTTAACTTATATTAATAATTAAATAAATTTAATTTAAAAAAAAAATTATTCTTCTCTGAAGTGTTCAGTACTTTTATTATTATTTTGATTAATTATTTATATCATAAAGATCATTAAGTTCTACTCGTTTCTTCTTTCAATCCTCTTTGGATTATAGATCTGTTGCTCTACTTAAGTAAAGAAAATAGTGTTGCTGTTTTTAAATAAATTTTAAAAATGCTAGTAAATTACCTTAAAAAATTCATTCAATGTTGATAAATCAATTTTGTGAGATATTAGAATGTAATAATATAAAAAGTGTGAGTGTCAAACGTTTTATGCATAAACAATAATTTAGTATTATTAATTTAAAATAACGATATAAAAAAAAATGTTTTTGTATTAAAATGTATTATTGTTCACTAAAAACCTAAATAATTTAAATATATACAGAATTTATTTCAGAGTCGGCGCTAGAAATTGCACAAAACAATTTTATAGAGCTCATAAAAGTTTTTTTTTAATAATAAAGAATCTCTTTTTTGTCACTCACTTAATTTGCATGCCCCTTCGAAGCATTAGGGCATACTTCACACACCTCTACAAAATTTATGAGAAATAATATAACGTTTGATATTTCACTCTTCATTTCTTTCATCTTCGCGTTATTATTATATTTATCGAAGTTCAAATTATTAATTGACATATTAGAAGCTATATAGGTATATTTTTAAGTATATTTTTTATCTTAATCATTATTAATAGATTTAGGTTATTGATTAATCTGATAACAGGGTCGTCCTTTAAGAAGTGTTATCTGGGCATTTCTCCAGTCTTATTTTTAATGAAATCTCTTACTGACCGGGCTATATTTTGAGCAAACCCATTCCTAGTTAAATACCAATTTATAATAATTTAAAAAATGTAGTGAAAATTAATTTTTATTCATTGAAAAATGATTGAAAATGATTTATTTACAATCGTTAAAATGATTTTAGAAAAAGTTCCCTTATGATAACTTTTTAGAAATAAACTGCGGGCTAATCAAGCTGTTTTGTAAAATAATGTGCTGGTCAAAAATTTTGCTCTATCCTAATAAAATCTAAAACAACACTTCTTTCTGGTGATGATTTTGTTCAAGTCGTTTAAAATAGCATTTTTCACCTGATATGATGTAATGGTTTTATTTTTCCTTCTAAACAAAACTGAATAATATTTTTAGTCCCAATGACATTATTTTTATATAATGCCTTAAATGGATACGATAAATTAACTTGAGCTGCTGCATGTATAACATAATCGATGTCTAAACATAACGTGTCATAAATTTCATCCGCTAGTCCAAATTTAACCAAAGAAATGTCTCCTAAAAATTATGTTTAAGATTAAAAAAATAATTTACCCATAGTCTCCAACATATTATAAACGTAATACTTATAAATTTATTTTTTTAAATTATATTATTTAACAAAATTACTTTATAACAATTTTTAAAAATTTTTTACATAATAATATACATAGTTTTTCCCAATATTGTGTATACCCAACATTTTATTGTAAAAATATTTTAGCTAAAGCATATTGAATTTTATACGTTTTTGTATATTTTTTTGAAGTGAAACTTGTTTACAGAGGGTCCGAAAAAAAAAGATTGTTGAACATCACAGTCGAACACGGTAGGCTGTACAGTTTATTTTATATTATAATTTAGCACTTTATTTTCGAAAATTAAAGTAATTTTATTTAAAATGCATTAAATAATTTAATTTAAAATAATTTTGATTGTGCATAAAAAATAGATAGATGCATTTTTCATGTGATATCTTAATAACGAAAGAAATTTCACTTCATCTGCATGTACTCGTAACACGCACTGGTTTTTTTTATTAATATCGACCGTAAATAAAAATGAATAAAATAAAATATCATCATTAGAAAAACCTAAAATAATTCCGATTTAAGAGGTTTCACCACTTATCAATTAAATAAATTTTAAATAATAACCTAGAAGTATAGTACAGTTAATAGGAAACCTTAATTTAGGTCCTTATACTATGTTTTGAACTTCAATACCAAGAATTGATCTTAAGACTATTTAAATCACGAGATTATAAGTTAAAAAAAAAACAATTAAAATGTGATCTTTCATCCTTATTAAAACTTTGGCATAAACTAATTTAGCCATACTATGGACTCTGTTAAATATTCAGTAAAGATTAAAGGATTATGATTTATGCTTAATATACTGCGTTTTGTCAATATTATCATAAATCATTCTATATCATGAATCATTTTATATCATAATAATTATTATTATTGAATTATTCAAGAAACAGATAAACAATTAATATACGATTTATATATCAGTTACATTAATTACGTGAATCTTTTGTTTTTATTAGGTATATTTCTAAATTGAAGACCTTAAGTTAAAAACGAGACATATCCATTATTTGACTAAAGTTACTTTTTTGTGTAATTAATTAAAAAAACAGCTTCGTATCGAACCTGTAATAACCTGCATCTGTTATAATACTAATGGACATATCTCGTTGTTTCCCCAGGATTAGAAATTGGCGACTTGCATTTTTAAATAAAATGTATAAATTATTTTGTTTTATATTTAATTTAAATATTTTTATATTAAATTTTATATATTTTACAAACATTTAAATATTTTTTATATACATTTTTTTTAATATTTCCTTTTTATCACTACAAACAAAATGTATATAAACTGAAAATTATACATTTATTTTAATTAGATTAAAATAGTATATAAATAAGTATACCATTTTATATCAAAATATTTTGATAAATTTAAATCGTTAAGAATTGTGGATGAATAAAAAGTAATTAGTTTTCAGATTTATTTAAAATTTTATATTAAATATTCGTACAAATTAACATATTACGAGTTAATGACAATCTTTATTTAAAACAATAATTTATGAAAATATATAGGATTATGAATTATTTGTAATTATTTTAAAAGCTTATTAATTAAAATCAATTCTATAATTATTGTGTAAAAATTGATAAGCTTTTCATAAATCAGATGATATAATGAAGATATATTATTTGAATAATCAGTATAAACAATTGGTTTTTATAAAAAACATTGTGTTTAAATTCATCACGCCATCGTGTTTATCTTAGTGTAGCCACTTGGCATTTAACCTCTGGACTGAATTATGTGATGATGGTGCGATTATAATTTTATATCCGTCAAAAAAATTGTTAAGAGATACTTATTTTATTAACTAAAAACCATTTTTAAGTTAGTTTTAGTAATAAATTATTTATATCTAAGAAATTAGTAAAAAAAAAATAATTTGAATATATTTATTACACAAAAATTTACCTTTTAAAGTTGTTACTCTAGAATAAAATGGTCCATTTGGAAATCCATAGTCTAAGTTATACTTTCTCATAGTTCGTTCAAGTTTTTCCAAAGGTTCATATTCCACCGAACTTCGTACCAAACAAAACACATTGACCTATTCATTTATTTTAATATTAAACAATACATAAAAAATGTATTGACAAATATTTTTTACTTTAGTTAATAATAATCTTTGAAGTATAAATGCACCCACAAAACCAGTAGCTCCTGTAAGCAAAATATTTCCAGCAGTAAACTTATTTTTGTTAATATTTACTGTGCTCCAAAATGCACGTATCATTTTGTTAGGTCTAATGATCAAACATAAAAATAGCATAAAATTAATGGCATTTCCAAAATAAACCAGTTCAATTCGTATAAGTAAATATAATAGCGTAACTACTGAAAAGTTAGGAAAATAAAAATTTCAGTTTAATATTTAGTTAATTTTGACAAGTGTATCTAAATTGTATATATTATAAAAATGTATGGGTAAAATTATCTGTATAATTATTTGGTAAAATTTTACTATATACAACTTGTTGAAATGAAAAAAAAAATTTCAAAGAAATTTTATTAAAGTGATTTTCTAATTTTCTAAAAAACGTACAGCATCTGCGAAATGTACATCTATACATTATACAGATTAAATGAAAAAAAAGGTTCTAAATCATTTGACCAATATATTGACTTTTTAACATTCTATTTATCTAACTGAGTAAATATTAATGACTAACGCTTCCTTCATTTTTTCCTATTATTAAGTCCATAGTTTTAATTTATTTACAGAAAATCTGGATAAGTGTATAAAATTGTGTTTTACATTGTAGTATTGTCAACAAGATTGTTAAATTCTTCTTCCAAATTGATGTTTTCTGACGATGAAACATTTTTATCTAATAATACAGACATTTCTACAACGTTTGGATTAAGAAATAAATCATGAACACGTAAATTAGTTTTAAATGTATCGTTAATTTCACCAACAACACTTGCAGCCAATAATGAATGCCTAAAATAGTAACAAAAAAAATGTAGTAAGAATAATGAGTATTTCTGAAAAATAATTTCTTAATAAAATATTAATTATGTTAACTTAATTGTGATTTTTTTACTTTAGTCCTTATTTTTTTGAGTTATTTCACATACTGTATTTTTATTAATTAAGGAGAGAAGAAAGATTTTAATAAGTTTTACTGTAGATAATTGTAGAATTATGTGAAATTGTATCTATGATATAAATAAATGACCCTATATTCTTCATCGTATCTTATATAATCAAAAATTGATCACTGTGTCTAATATTATTAAAAATTAATTAATTACCATTATAAATTCTAAATACATACACATGAGTGAGTATGTGTTTAATTGATAATAATAATATTGTACCCGAAATACTTATCCGCGATTTTTTAGTGGTTTTTGTGAGACTTTATGAATTAATTTTTTTAATTAAATTTTAATTAATTTTTCTGGTGTAATTTTAATTGGCCAGTCATTTAACTAATTAGATCGTATTTTATAAGCTAGTTTAATATGTATGTATGAATCAAATAATACTAAAAATAATTTTCTTAATATAGTTACTATTTTAAGAGAAATCAAGTATCAAAAGAATCATTTTGTATACACTAAGAATTTATGCAACCTATGTACATTGTATGCGTGGTATTATTTATTTTTTTAGTTTTTGATTCAAGATTTCTCATAAAATAACAGGTAAAATATTTAACTTTATTTTGGCGGAATTTGAACTTGCTGTCAAGAAACAATGGTCATTTTGGTAGTAAAAGGGATAACCTGTTATTAAATGATTCGTACTTACCCTCCATTTTCAAAAAAATTATCGTGTACGTCAATGCTAAACATTTTCAACGCTTTACAAAATATAGTAGCAACTATTTTTTCTGTTTCAGTTTTCCAATTTTCTATGATAATACCTATATTTTTGTCCAATTTCACTCTTGGTAAAGCATCTTTATTTAATTTTCCAGTGGCTACAACAATTGGCAATCTATACAATTTTTAAAAATAAAAAATTTAATCATTAAAAATGTCATACTCAAATTTAAAAAACATCGGTTCCTTTTGAAAAATAAATGTTTAAAGTTTAATTAAACATTATATATTTGGTTAAACTTGAAAATATTTTATAGAAAGATAGAAATTTTTTAATAGATCTTTTCAAAGTTAAATTTGGCTATGTGCTGGTTGTTGGGTTATACGAAGGACGTTAATAATTTTCACATTATTAGTTCCACGTAACAGAATTTTCAAAAAATATCTATTATCTTAGAATAATTATTTTGCTGTATATAAAATTAAATTTCTTATAACTCAAAAGCAAATAATATGCTCATATTCTTCTTTTTTTTCCTCGTCTTAATCCCAACTTTTTGGGGTCGTCCATTATTATCCTAAACTTCCACTTGACACGATTATCCATATCATTTACGCTTACATTACCGTCCTCATATCGCATTCAATTACATCCTTCTATCGCTTTTTTGGTCTTTCTCTATCTCTTTTTCCTTCAATAGTATGCAAATATTATATTGAATTTTTTTATAATAATTAAAAAAAAAACCCAGCACAGGGGGGTCGCGGCACAGTGGTGACGTAGCATAGTTGGATCAAGTATAATGATATCTGATAGTGATTAAAATCACTATCAAAAATAAACGCTTCGATGCAAATCTTTAGATAGTGTTTAATTTTAAAAAAATTGGTGTTTTATTCCAAAAGCTACTTGATCTGCTGGTTCCTTATTAATATCTCGATTAAGATAAAGTATGTCGAATGAAAAAGGGTTTATTAAAAAATATTATTTCTCATAAAAAAATTGTGTGGATCCATAAACTTTTCAATAAGTTATAGCATTATAAAGTTAAAT